GTCAGGAAGTGTGTCATTTTCAAAATGCTTTTAATTCAGCATCTTGTTTTTACCCGATTTGCTTCAAACTTCTTCAGAATAATGTCAAAACATGGCCGATGTAAAACTGGTGAGGGGATATTGATATCTGAAATATTGTTGCCATGGCAATGTGTCAAACTTGAATATTCTTTTCTGGTGATTTTGATTCAGATAACATTCTTAGAATTTCATGAAACTCAACACACATATAAGTATTAATGATATATAGACACTGGAAAAAGCTCATAAAAGGGCGTGGAAGAGGCACTCTATAGCGCCACCTTTTGACAAAACTTGGGGGGTTAGTTTTAGCTACAGTCACCAGACTTGGTACATATATTGATCTCATCAAGCTGGACAACTTTCTAATTTACAGTCATTAGCTACGCCCAACAGGAAGTCGGCTATATTGATTTTAATATGGATTTTTGGAAAAATATAGCTGTGAATTAATGCATACTCCTCAGAGGAAAATTACATTAGACACACCGAACTTTGTCTACATGATGCCAAAACATTGAGGAACTTATATTGCGGATGGATTTTGGATAGCTTGAACGGTTTTGCCGTGGTGATTTGTTAAAATAACAGGAAAAAATGACAGAGTAATTGTGTTGTATTATTAAAATGCAGCTTCCAAACAGTTCAAAACTTTTTACATACATAGAACAAGTCATTCTGAGGAAATAGTCATAGTTTCACGACTTTACAACACTCTATGGATAACAGAAAATTAAAAAACTATAAGACATCTGATCTCACTCTGCCACTCTGAATCTCTGAAAATTTCTGAGTTATGTATCCCTCTGTGTTGTTTGTTTATTTTTTCTGTTAGGAATATAACTGAGCCTTTAAATTTCATTTGTAATGGATATGCTTATAAATCAAGAACAAGGCATTTATAGCTGCATTTATAAACTGCTTACTAATGCCTATTAATGTTGGAACAATGCTTTATAAAGGATTAATTGACTATTTACTAATGCTTAACTAATAATTCAAAGTGTGCAGTTATTATAAAGTGTGACCAATTGTTTTAATGTCTAAGTTTTGAATATTAACTGACAATAATACATGCTATATAATTATTGTTCATGTTAATTAATACAGTTAATGTTAATAACTTCCGCATATGACAGCTTAATTCCATCTCTTTCCTTTTGAATTTCTACTGCCCTCTTTCTAACTTCACATCCTCCATTATATGCCACATTACGGGCCCCACCACAATTACAACATTTTGCTTCCACATTCCTTTCAAATTTTCCATACTCGTGTTCTTCCCCACAATGTGCACATCTCTTTTTGGCTCTGCATATGTAACGGAGGCCAGCGAGTAGGTGCTGTGCAGGTGGCTGCAGTCTTTAGCCTCCTTGTTAGTGCGTCTGCCTCCCATGCCGGAGACCCACTCGGAACAAGAACGAGGTGTGGCGGTGAGGACCCGGGAGAGAGGGGTTACATATGTATGTTATGTATCAAGAGCTCCTGTAAAACCACTCAAAACTCAGTATGAGTTATTTGAATCACAATCAAAACTTTTCCATTCCATCCGCCGATCTTCAAATCATCAGTATATTTTAGTGATGGAAATTTTGATTCTTTCAAGAGATTTGTTCATTTTCAGTTTCGTTCACTGATTCGCTCAGTGACCATTTCTTCATATTACTTAAATACGCCAGCAGGTGGCGAAAAAGAGTGTCTTGTGTTGTGTCTTAAAGGGATAGTTCACCCAAAAATTTAAATTTGATGTTTATC